CACCACTACTCCAAGTACTCCCAATAGCAACACCCTGAACTGCGGTGCCCAATGGGCAGTGAAAGGGTTATGTGTCCTCTTACCCCTAGCCCTAGCATCTCTGGTCTCACAGGTGAGCAGAAAGAGTCATTCAGACCAGACTCCAGCATTGAGTTTTTCTCCACTTTCCAGCTGATACTCATCATGTTTACTGTGGCTTCCAGCAGCGATGGGAATCAGATGGGCCAGGCAGCATGATGGTGGGTTTCTCTGTGACTGGAGGAGCAATGGCATTGGTAAAAAACCCCAACCATACCAAGCAGGGGCTTGGGCAAAGCTGGATTCTACTTCTCAAAAGATATACAACCTGTTTTGTTTGTTTGTTTTGTTTTGCTGTTTTTAGAAAGGTTATGTTAATAGAAAATAATGATCCCAGTAATTATATGTAAATCTATGCAAAACTCAAGTAAGCTTTATTTTTATTTATTGATTTTTTTACATATAGTTGTAGACGGACAGCATGCCTTTATTTATTTATTTTTTTAAATGTGGTGCTGAGGATCAATCCCAGTGCCTCACACATGCTAGGCAAGTGCTCTGCCACTGAGCTACAGACCCAGTCCCTCAAGTAAGCTTTTGATTTTCATCTTCAGTTAGGTTTGAAAGAGACTTGTATTCAGCTAAATGGGGAGATGAATGTGAAAGGAAGTGGGCTGAGGCTTAGTTCTCCATGGGCTTCTTTTCAGCATGTATTAAGGATAAAGTAGAAAGTTTCATAGCTCCAAATAAAGAAATCTAGTCATTTAAGTTGGTGTCTACAAGGTGAGGAACTAGCTGCCCTTTGTCCTCTTTTTTTTTTTTTTTATAGTACTGGGGATCATACCTAGGGATGCTTTACCACTGAGTTACATCCCCAGCCCTTCCCACCACTTTTATTTTTTGTTTTTATTTTGAGACAGGGTTTCACTAAATTGCTGAGGTTGGCCTTGAATTTGCAATTCTTCTGCCTCAGCCTCCTCAGTCACTGGGATTACAGGTGTGTTCCCACTGCACCCAACCTGTTCTTTTTTTTTTTTTTTTTTTCTTTTTTAGCCTGTTCCTTTTCATGAGAACCTGTGGAAGCTGGGAATTGACAGGCTGAGGCATTTGGATCCCAAGTTGGAGATTAGCCTTGGCAACTTAGAGAGACCCTGTCTCAAAATAAAAAGGATTTAGGGATATGGCTCAGTGATAAAGCACCCCTCAGTTCAATCCCCAGTACCAAGGGTGAAAAAAAAGAGGCTACAAGGTTGGTGAGATCACCCCTTCCTATTAATTAAACCCTTGTTAAATGATTCCCTAAGTACTTTAGCCAGGGACAATACTAGACTCTTTACCTACTTTATCTTATTTGATCCAGAGGAAACTGAGGCTGATAGTTTACATTAAATTGATTCAACAATTTTTTTTCTTGTTCTGGGATTGAACCCAGGAGAACTTTACCACTGAACTATATTCCCAGTCCTTTTAATTTTTGTATTTTGAGACAGGGTCTCACTAAATTGCTGAGGCTGGTCTTGAACTTGTGATCCTCCTGCCTCAGCCTCCCCAGGTGCTGAGTCCTCCAGCTTGATTCAACAGATTTTTATTTTCTGCTTTCTAGTATGTCAAGCACCAGGTTTGCAGTGGTGAAGAGATCCGGTACGGTCTCTGCTGTCCTGAAGTTTATATCAAGTTGGGATAACTTGCCTAACTAGAAAGTGATAAAGCAAGGATTGTTGTTAGCACTGCTCTTCTTTATAAATTTTGGGTAAACAGAATATTTCTTTGTTTATGATATCCCTTCTCATTAGCCCATATGTGGCCCGACTTACCTATATATTTTTTTAGGGTCATAGTTAGTTATTTTTGCAGTACTTAGGTTTGAACCTTGTGCATGCCAGCCAGGCGCACTACCACTGAGCTACCCCAGCCCCATTTCTTTTGGTTTAGTTTTGTTTTGTTTTTGTGATACTGGGAATTGAACTCAGCAGTACTTTACCCCTGAGCTACATCCCTATCCCTTTTTATTTTGAGGCAGGCCTCATGAAGTTGCTGAGGTGGACCTGAAACTTGTGATCCTCCTGTCTCAGCCACCCAAATTGCTGGGATTACAGGTGTGTGTGCTAACGTGCCTGGCAGCCTTATTTATTTTTAATAATGTTTAGGTCAGGCATAGTAGTGCATGCCTATAATCGCAGCGGCTCAGGAGGCTGAGGCAGGAGGATCATAAGTTCAAGGTCAGCAACTCAAGCAACACCTTGCCTCTAAATAAAATCTTTTTTAAAAGGGCTGGCAATGTGGCTCAATGATTAAGCACCCCTGGGTTCCCATATCTTTCCTCTAAACCAAGGTAAGCATCATCCTGAATCCTGTCCTCACACTTACATCATTTTTGTATAGTTTTATCTCATCCGTATCCTGAGGAACATATTTGTATTTTAGTTGTTTTTAACCCCCCCCCCAAAAAAAAAAGGTTATCATGCAGTTGGAGTTATAGCTCAGTGGTAGAGCACTTGGCTAGCAGTGTGAGGCACTGAGTTTGATCTTCAGCACCACATAAAAATAAATAAATAAATTAAAGGTATTGTGTCCATCTACAATCAAAATTTTAAAAAAAAAGGTTATCATGGCAAGTATAATTTTCTGAAAAATTTAAAATTTATTTTATTGATAAAATTCATCACTATTATTAAGTGTCACTATGGTGATTCATTCATGTTGATGAGTAATATCCCTTCATGTGACTATACCATTGTTTATCTCTTCATTCTCCATTGATTTGGGTTGCTTTTAGTTTTTTGCCATTGTGAATATTGCTATTGTAAACATTTTTGTATGTATCTTTTGGAGTATTTATAGAAAATCTTCTCCTGGGTATATAAGTGACATTCCTGAGTCAGTAAATATGTGTTTGCTTGAATTTATTCAGTGGTGCTATCTATCCAAAGTGATTACCCCAATATACACTCCCACTAGTAGTCATAACTGGTTCCATCATTTTGGATTCTTACCTACATCTGCACCAAAATAGCTGTCACCAAAGTCTCTACTCTTTTTTTCTTTTAAATAAAATTTTAGTTATAGATAGACACAATATATTTGTTTATTTATTTGTTTTTATGTGGTGCTGAGGATCAAACTCAGTGCAAGTGATCTACCACTGAGGCACAACCCCAGCCCCAAGTTTCTATTCTTGTTATATTTTGGTACTAGGCATTGGAACCAAGGGATATATTTGTATTTTAATTGAGCCACATCCTCAGCCTTTTATTTTATTTTATTTGAGACAGGTCTCCTTAAGTTACTTAGGGCCTTGCTAAGTTGCTGAGGCTAGCTTTGAACTCACAATCCTCCTGCCTCAGCCTCTTGAGTCACCAGGATTACAGGCTTTGCCACTGCACCCAGCTGAAGTCTCTACTCTTAAGGCCATGATGTGCTACCCACTTTTCTGTTTGGTACCTTTTCTGGAGACATTCCAAACCCTGTGCACTCCCTGCAGACAGCAGTGGTGACTGGGAAACTGGGTAAGGTGCAGCAAAGAATATGGGGCTTGAAGTCAGAAGATTGGTGGGGCTTCTAAAATGCAATAGACTCTAAGGACTGCTGATAGACTCCTTTTCCATGAAATCAGGAGGGCCAGTCTTTGGGTGCCCTCTGATCTTGGCAACTTTTCCTTCCAGTGGATGGTTAGAGGGACCTTTGGACTTTCCTGTAACTATCTTATCTACCCACAAGCTGGATACTGGAGGAGAGAAGCACAGGTCCTGATATATGTTCCTCTTCTCTCCCCACAGGTACATTGCATGGGACTTACACCTGGTATCATCTTTGCAGGCCTCACCTTCAAAGTTCTGTTCTCTGGTACTTCACAGGAAAAGCTAGTGACCTGCATAACTCACCACTAAGTAAAGGTGATGAGCCTATTGGAGTATCTTATTTCACCTTCTCCAACTACACGGCCCCTCCCCTAGGTCCCAAATCCCTCACTAAGTTTGAGCACAGTTTGACTTGTCTCCCCAAACTTTCCTTCCCCATGTTGTCCTTGACCAGCCTCTTTCCTCAGATTCTGTTTCCTCATCCCTATATCTTTCCCAGGGGACCAAGGTTTAGGACCCCAGTATCCCGATCATGGCTATATTAGAAAACATTAGACCCTCACATGGTTTCATAGCCATGATTTGGGTTCCTTCCTTTCACAACTTCCTACTCTGCCTTGTACAAGCTGATTGTGAGGTTTTACTATTAACCCCTTTCCTCATCCTAGACCCCCCAACCCCACTCCCAGCCTATGCTCAAAGGACAGCTTCTTTCCTCATCTGTCTCTATGGTTTAAAAGACCAGGCTGAGGGTTTGGGAAAGAAGGTGCTGGCATGGGTTGGGGGTAGGGAACCTGGGCTCGGAGAAAGCCAGACACAGCAGAACTATTCTGTCCCAGAGCTGCAGGGTCCACAGATTCCAGCCCAAACCAGCCAATGGGAGAAGGCCCTGTAATCCCAGGGAACTAAAGAATTCTCTTCAGTTATCCAACTTCCCTGCTGAACCCCACTCCTTACCCCCACCCCCACCCTTACCCCCAGTAGTCTAAGAGGAATCTGAGGTCCCCAAGAGCACAGCCCCATAACCCACACAAAGTGAACTCAGCTTGACAAACCTTCCAAGGGGATTGGAGGAATGTTCTAATATAGATGTTAATCATGTCTGTGAACCCCAACTTTGACGCAGATAGAAGGACAGACTCTTCTAGTCCCCCATCCATGAGCCTCATCCCTGTGGTTCTCTCCGCTCATCTCCAGTTGAGAAGGGAAGGAAAAATCCAGCAGCTCTATCAGATGTATGGGAATGGATTCAACCCTCTACAGCTGTGAAGGGGTTAAGAGGCAGGGCCAGCTGCCTCAGTCTGCCCCTCCCAGGGATTAAGAGTCCTCTATAAAGGGGACTATCCACCCAGACAAGATCAGGGGGGTGTCCAGGACCCAGGTGCTTTGCCCATCCCCCCTGCCATGTGGGAACTGCGGTCTGCCTCCTTCTGGAGGGCCATATTTGCCGAGTTCTTTGCTACCCTCTTCTACGTCTTCTTTGGGCTGGGGGCCTCACTACGTTGGACCCCTGGACCCCTGCATGTCCTGCAGGTGGCCCTGGCTTTTGGTCTGGCCCTGGCTACACTGGTGCAAGCAGTGGGCCACATTAGTGGAGCCCATGTCAATCCTGCAGTCACTTTTGCCTTCCTTGTGGGCTCCCAGATGTCCCTGCTCCGCGCCTTCTGCTATATGGCAGCCCAACTCCTGGGAGCCGTGGCTGGGGCCGCTGTGCTGTATAGTGTCACCCCGCCTGCTGTCCGAGGAAACCTAGCACTCAACACGGTAATGGTTGACTGGGAAGGGTTGGGGGCATCTCGTGTCCTGACTCTGTTTCCCTGACTCCCTGCATGGTACAATGTGTAGGTGTGTGCACGTTTGTATGTGTGTGTGTTTCAGGGCAGGGAAGATCAACAGGTGGCTTGGAGGGGTAAGAAAGGTATAGAGCCCTGGACTGAGAATCAAAAAACCTGAGGGCAGAGGATACAATTTAGTGGTAGAATGCTTACTTAGCATGTGTGAGGTGTGAGGCCCTGGACTTGATCCCCATAATCACAAAAAAGAAAAAAGAACAAAAGAAAGAGAACAAGCTGAGTTCAAATTCCATCTTTCCTTCCATCTTCTGTCAAGGTCTTAAGGAAACTTATTTTACATTGTGGGGCCTCAATTTCCTCATCCATGTAAGTGGGTACAATCATTTCTACCATAAAGGTGTATTGTCAGGAGAATTTACAGATACAATTGCTGTGAAGGGGGTTGTATATCCTTCCTCTCCAGGAAACTGATGCCAGAGGGGATCGCTACCTGAAAGCCGTGAGGAGGTAATGCTGTGGCAGCCCTAATGAGCTGCCTCCCTTCTTCTTCCTTTGCCCAGCTGCACCCTGGGGTGAGTGTGAGCCAGGCCACCACAGTGGAGATCTTCCTGACGCTCCAGTTCGTGCTCTGCATCTTTGCCACATACGACGAGAGGCGAAATGGCCGCCTGGGCTCCGTGGCCCTGGCCGTTGGCTTCTCCCTCACTCTGGGGCACCTCTTTGGGGTAAGCAGGAAAGGGGAACAACTTCTCATTCAAGGATACCAGGGCCCCCAAACCTTTCCCAACTTTTAGGTGTTCTTCCTGCCCACTCAAATAGGAACGTTATTCATCTTACTCTATATCATTTGGCGCACAGGAATTAACCCTGCCCTATCCCTCTGTCTTGTGATTGCTATACCTAGTTCTTCTTGACCCTTGGTAAGAAATGCATGCATGGGCTGGGGTTGTAGCTCAGTGGCAGAGCACTCGCCTAGCATGTGCAAGGCCCTGGGTTTGATCCTCAGCACCACATATAAATAAAGGTATTGTGTGCAACTACAACTAAAAAATAAATAAATTAAAAAAAAAAAAAGAAATGCATGCACGCATCATAGTTCAACTTGGGCTTTGTTTATTGGTCTATAGTATATCCCAGATAGGGTATCAGTGCCCTCACCCACTGTGGAACCCCCTGAAGAGTTATGTAGTTTGTCCTTCCCCACTTGCTGCTGGCTGGACACGAGATTACCAGCTCTGAGGGGCAATATGGGCTATGAGGAGAAAAGCTGGGTGGAAGGGGGTGTGTCTCAGTTACAACTGTGTCTTTTGCAGATGTATTATACTGGTGCAGGCATGAATCCTGCCCGTTCCTTTGCTCCTGCCATTCTCACCAGGAACTTCACCAACCACTGGGTGAGTGAGGGGAGAAGGACAAGATCCTAGAGCCCTCCTGGATGGGACTGGATTGCAGATTCCAGATTTGGTTTCTGCTTTCCATCTGGTTGTGTTGGCTTCTCTACCAACACTCAATTAAGGAGCTATCTGAGAGCATGGCATGTACATGTGAACAGGTTGCATTATTTTGCTAGAAAGAGAGGCTAATGGACATGGTGACATACACCTATAGTCCCAGCACTCAGGAGGCTGAGATAGGAGGATCCTGAGCCCAGAAGTTTGAGACCAGCCTGGACAAAATAGTGAGATCATATCTCATAAAAAGCTCTTGCCAAAAAAAAAAAAAAAAAGCTCTTGCTCATTGTTCTTTCTCTGGATAGACTTGTTTTTTTTTTTTACTTAGTATCCATCAGATGCCCAAACTAGAGAAAATAGGATAAACAACTAAATATGAAGACAATAAATTCTGCTCTCAGATATCAGTATGTGTGTGAGCACAAATGGCTGTGGGCCTATTTCCATTTCTAATACTTTACTAGTCTTGTGTGTGACCCTGGGCAAATAATCATCTGTACCTTAGTTTCTATAACTGTAAAATGAGATTATATGATCAATAAGTGTGAAAGTTATATGCATGAAACATTAGCACAGAATCTGAAAATGGAGTAAGTCTCTAATAAATATTGGTTGTTTATGTTGTTTTGGCCATATGCAAGCCAAACATATGAAAATAGTTTTTAAAAACTTCAAAGTTGTTTTTTCATTTCATGGCAACATTATTCACAATAGCCAAGAGATGGAAGCAACCCTATGTGGACTTACATACATGGAACATTATTCAGCCTTAAAAAGAAAGGAAATTCTGACACATGCTACAACATGGATGAACCTTGAGGACATTATGTGAAAGTGAAGTCAGTCTGTCACAAAAAGACTAGTCCTAAGTAGTTCCACTTACATGAGGTAGAAACTCAAATTTATAGAAACAGAAAGTAGAAGGGTAGTTGTTTGCCAGGGTATAGGGTAGGGGAATAGTAGTTGTTGTTCAATGGCTATAGAGTTTCAATTTTACAAAATGAAATATTCTGGAAATGGGTTGAACAACTCTGGGAATGAAAACAGTTAACACTACTGAACTGCATGTTTAAAAGTTTGTAATAAAGGTAAATTTATGTTATGAAGTATATTTTACTACAATCTACAAAACTTTCTTGAAAGAAATGTAAAAATTGATAACAAATAAAATATACATGTGCTAAGAAGGTATGGGATAGCAAGGCACAGAGGCACATGCTGGTAATCCCCACAACTTGGAGAAGGCAGTAGGATTGTAAGGTTAGTCTGGGCAATTTAGTAAGACCCTGTCTCAAAATAAAATTTTAAAAAAGGCCTGGGGTCGTAGCTCAGTGGTAGATCACCCTGAGTTCAATCCCCTGTACCACAAAAAATAAAAATAAAAAATAATTTTAAAAATGATCAAAAAAAAAAAGAAATGATACGTTTTGAAATAGAGACAGTGGGGAGTAGGGTCTATAGTTTACATCAGGGATGGGAATATAGCTCAGTGTACAGTGTGAAGTCAGCCTGTCACAAAAAGTGGAGTCATGATTTCTAATCCCTAGCACTGCAAGCATACAGACAAACAAACAACAACAACAAAAACCCACACTGATTTTTATTTAGACAATACCTGCCCAATTGCATGTGACAAGTTCAAGATATCTTCTTTTTAACTAAGAGGGTTAGAAAAAGAGCATCCTTGCTGCTGAGTCCCCTCCTCAAACTTAAGACTTCCTTTTGTTTCCCTACAGGTATACTGGGTGGGCCCGATCATTGGAGGGGGTCTGGGCAGCCTTCTCTACGACTTTCTTCTCTTCCCCCGGCTCAAGAGTGTTTCTGAGAGACTGTCTATCCTCAAGGGTGTCAGACCCAGTGACTCCAATGGACAACCAGAGGGCACAGGGGAACCTGTTGAACTGAAGACCCAGGCTCTGTAAAAGCTCCAGATGGAGTGAGGGAGTAGAAAGCTTCTGGGTTTCTGTGGAGGGGCTGAGACAGCCCCTAGTTGAAGAAAAAAACTGTGGGGAGGGGCATGTACTTCTTTATTTTTTAACTTATGTGTGTTTTTTTTTTTTCTTTTGCTGTGTGAAATCTTTCAAGTTGCATTCATGAGCTGGTTGGTGCAAACTTCCCTTCCTCCCCATCCCACTTCCCTTCGCCGTGTGTGTGCATGATTGTGTGTATGAATGTAGGTGAGTGTGACTGTGTCTGAGTTTTGGGGCATGAGAGCTAGGTAAGGGAAAAGGTGTCAACGTATATGTCCTTCCCCCCAGCCTGGTGTGATGAGTACAGGGAACCGACCTTAATTTCTGGCCTTTACCCTGCTTGCAGTCAAATGTATGGCTCTTGATTTCTGAGGGAACAGGTAAGCAGAGAGATTACTCCTCCCAGAGACAGATGGAGAAAGTAGACAGGGTATTCCAAGGGTTGGGAGAAAGGACTCAAGGTAGGTGGGTAGGAGAGGAAATGGAGGTATTAGCCCCAGATCACTATGCAAGTTTACCTAAAAGTTTTAATGAAGATAATAGGAGAATGTAGCTTACTTATCTCAGGGATGCTGCCCCAGGGACTTGGGTGGGGAAGTAGCTCTGAGAAAAGTGAACACTGGGACTTGGACTGTTCTGTAAAACCACATAAACCTGTCTACATCCACTGGCTGGGTTGTGTGTTCATTCTGGCATAATGGATCTCCTTGGAGGTCCTGGGCCAGGGAGCTCCCAACCTAAATAGCAGGTGGGCGAGCCTAGAATCTAGAAAAATTAGGCAGCTTAAGGAGTCCATTTGACATGCCCTGGCAGATGGAACTTAAGCCCCAAAATTATTTCTTAAAGGCAAAACAGGAAATTTTTTGCCTTGAGAAACATAGGGGAAGGAGTCTGACAAGAAGAGAGAGGCTTTGACTTTCGGAGATTTAGCTTATTCAAAACAAATCAAAACACTCTCCAAATGGAATCTTTCTGCTTTTATCACTACTAGCTCCATAGTCTTTTTTTCTTTTTGTATGTATCTTTTCAATTTTCTCTCATCTGTCCTTTCATCTCATAGCTAACCCTCCCTCATAACCCAGAAACTCATTCCTTGTATTCAAATGAGTAATACTTCAGGAGATAACCTTTCTTTTCAGCCCCATCTTCTTTCAATTCATTGGCAAAATACACTGTATCAGCAGAGGCTGGAAGAGATCCTCAACTGAATAATGAATATTTATTGTTGATTTCTTCCTTTTATAAGCCTCTTGTATACTTGTTAGACTTATGCCTACAGTATGACAGACAACTTTAATTTCGGCGGGTACCTCCACTTCCTCCCAAATAAAATGTAACTTTTCCAACTAACCCTGATGACTTTGGAATAGTCCACTTGACCGAAGGGGAAAATGTGAATTTATCTCTAATCTGAACTTGGTTATTATTATAATTCAGCAGACTATTCATAGCGTTGTGACTTTTAGGTCAATGTAGGGAACATATTCGGATAAAACAGTCCTTTTATTCGCTTCCCTTTTCCTTACTTCGTCACCAACCATTCCCTTCTCCCCCATTCGCTCGGAGTCAGTGGACCAGCCCGCCTCGCCCCGCCCCGCGCCCCAAGCAGGCGGGGACCGGTCTCCTGTGCCTGGTGGCGGGAAATGTTGTAGTCCAGCGCCTGAGGGCAGCTGGGTCTGAGAGGCTCCGGAGGACCCGCGAGAGCGGGTGAGTGTGTGTGGCAAAAGGGTTCTGGGTGGACTGAGGTCCTCTCGAAATCGCGGGGACAGGCTTGGGAGGCGCCGAGTCCCAGTTCCCGCCATCGGGTTTAAAGGCCGAGGGCTGGACGCGTCTCTAACCGCGCACGCGCATTCCTACCCTGCGCCTTCTCGGGCTCGCCTCCGCGGTTCCAGGCGCGGTGTTGAACTCTCACTGCACCCCTCCCACGCTGCTTTGCACACCTTGGGGTCCCAGTGGATGGGACTGTGATGAGTAGGGGCTTGGAGCCCTGAAAGTAGAGCAGAAGGTTCTTTTGGGTTTTCACTTCGGAACTCCACATCCGGTTCAGACTCGAAGAAACGTGAGAGGCCTGATGGTCATCAGGGGTCGGAGTTCACAGGCCGCTTGATTTAAATCTCGAATTTTTTAAAAAGAATGAATTACGTTCCCTCTCCCTTTTATCCTGGGTGGAAAGTTTAAGTAAGATACGGCCTCTACTCGGGTTTGTCAACCAGACCTTTTGTCACTAATTAAGCTCCATCTCTTGAGTCTCTCTCTCTCTCTCCCAATTGTTTATTCTGCCTTTCATACTGACACCAGTACCTTTAAAAAAAAAAAAAGTTAAACTTGTTGTTTAACGTTAACTTTAAGGCTCCGTTTTGGCCATTCACAGGAGTAAATTCTTAGGTGGCATAAGGGGCCTTTCATAATCTGTTTCTAACCTTCTCAGCCTCATTTTCTAAAAACATGACATTTATGTCTTGCACTTGACTCACAGTCACAGGGAAAGGGTGTATCTGCATTATACACTTTCATACCTAGTATCTATGATCCTCCTGTGACCTCTTCTTGGAAGTTATTGTTGTTTTTCGGCCACATAACTTGTCTTGTCCCTCTGAAATTCAGTTTATCCAGCCTTCCCACACCAAGCTGATCACTTTCTCCCTTGTGTCCATGAAATATTGTATCTCCCTTTACTATCAGTGGCTCTGAACTCAATAAAATGTTACTGAGCCCCTCATCTGTACTATGCAGTGTACTCAGCGTCAAGTATGTAGAGATGCATAGGACAGAATTCCTGCCCTTGAGGAATTCATTTTGGTAGCAAAAACATAGAAGTGAGAGTCTTCTGCATTACAGTGACAGAGTTCCTTATTTCCTTACTCCTCTCACTCCTCACTCAAATACTATCCTATATATCCTAATGCCTCCAAATCTCCAGTTGCATCCTCAACTTTAGACTTGTCTACTTAAGTTTAGTAAAGCATTTATTGAGCACCTACATTGTGCTAGTCATGATGATTCCTGAGATCAAGGAGTTAACATTTTAGTGGGGCTTGGTGATGCATTCCTACATTAAGGCATGAAGATCACAAGTTCAAAACCAGCCTGGGCAATGTAGCAAGGCTCTGTCCTAAAATAAAAAAATTTTTAAAAAGGGCTAGGGATGTGTAGCCCAGTGGTAAAGAGCCTCTGGATACAACTCCCAAAAGTTTACATTTAGTGCAGTTGTTAACAGCAGATTAAATTAAAATCACCTGAGGAGCATTTTCGAAATATTTTTGCCCAAGCCACACCTGGAAATTTTGATCTCATAACCAGGCTCTGAAAATTCAAAGATGAATAAGAAACAATTCCTGTCCTCAGGGAATCTGAGGCTAGTGGAAGGAGACAGACACAGACATTTTAAACGAATATAAACTATTATATGAGAGACTAACAGAGGTGCAAGTGCCATGATGGAATTCTATATATGGCACAAAAGAGAAAAGAGGTTCCTTTTATATGGAGAAGCCAGGAAGAATTGCCATTTGGGCCATTTCAAAAGAGAATTCAATAAGTTGAGGGTGTGATAGTATACTCTGATTATTCCACTACTGGGCACGCTGAAGTGGGAGGGATTACAAGTTCCAGGCCAGCCTGGGCAATTTAGCCAGACTTGGTCTTAGAAAAAAGAGAGAATTTGACAGACTCTAGGTTGATGGAAGGGTGTTCTGGATATACGAATAACTTGAGCAAGAAGCTTGAAAGATAACTGCTGGGATATCATGAAGAACTTTGTGTTGTGGACATGAAGAACTTTGTGTTGAGGGTCATCAAAACTTTAGTTTTTTTATAGTAGTGCATGTTAATGGTAAACAATTCCAATAGTATCAACATGAAAGAAATTTTTTTCTAACTCTAGATCTCCCATTTATTCCCAGAGGTGTTGCTATGAAGTTTCTTCCCCTTTTCTTTTCCTTTTTTAAATTTTCTTTTTTGGTACTGGGGATTGAACCCAGGGGCGCTTAGCCACTGAGCTCCCCAGCCCTTTTTTATATTTTATTTAGAGACAGAGTCTTGCTGAGTTGGCCAGGGCCTTGCTGAATTGCTGAGGCTGGCTTTGAACTTTCGATCCTCCTGCCTCATCCTCCAGAGCCACTGGGATTACAGGCATGTGGGGTCTTTTTTTTTTTTTTTTTTTTTTTTGAGATAGGTTCTTGATAAATTGCAGAGACTGTCCTTGAATTTATGGCCCTGCCTTGGCTTCCCAGGGAGCTGGAATTCTGGCATAGTCACTTTACCCAGCTCTTCTCTTTTGTTTCTTTCTGTTTTTTTTTTTTTTTTTAAATCCTTTTTGTTTTTTTCTATCCTTTTCTTTCTTTGTTTTTCTTATTTATTTATTTACTTACTTACTTATCGTCTCTTCTTTTCTTGGGATCACTCCATGTTAACCAGGCTGGCCTTAAATTCTTGGACTCACAAAATCCTCCTGCCTCAGCCTCTTGAACAGCTAGAATTACAGGCGAGCACCACCACAACTACCTGAAGTTTCTTATGTATCCACTGAAGGTTTTATTTTGTTTTTGTGCTAGGGTTGACCTCATGCTTGCTAACCACATACATGCTGTACTATTGAGCTACACCCCTAACCCTATTTGAAGGGTTTTTTTAAAAATATTTTTTAATTTTTTTTTATTTGAAGGGTTTTAAGTAGGGTGGGTCATATGGCCAAATCAAGTAACAATCTTGTGGCTAGATTTAAGGGAAAGGATCAGACAGAAAGAGATTAGGAAGCAGTTGAGTAATCTAAGCAAGAGACATACAGACTTGAGTTAGTAGCAGTGTGGAAAGGCAGGGTATATAGAGGAGCTTAAGGAAATTAAGGAGAGATGGAAGTATCCAAGGTGATACCTAGGTGTAAGTGCCATGATGGAATTCTGTATATGGCACAAAAGAGAAAAGAGGTTCCTTTTATATGGAGAAGCCAGGTGATACCTAGATCCAAAACAGAAGTGAAGATGACTTATGGGGAAAATGAGTTTAGTTTTGGACATGTTGAATTTAAGATGTCCTTGAGACATAAAAGTAGAGGATGCTATTTTTGAGTCCGTTTAACATTTGAGATTAGTGCCTTGGGAACTTAGAAGGGCCAGGGATACAGATTGGCTGGCTACTGACTTGTATAGTAGTTGAAGCAGGGGGCATGGATAAGTTTGCCCAAGGAAGCTATGTAGAGAGAAAAAAGAAGACTGAAGATGTAGGCCAATGGAGCATGAACTCTTCAGGATGGGAGGGGGCCAAAGGAAGGTATGTTTTATGTTGGATTCCCTCCTCCTTGCTTAAATTAGAAGAATTTTGAGCAACTCATAATATGTGGGCGTGGGGCTGATATAAAGGAAAAGTTGGAAATAATTGAGAAATGAGAATCAAATAAGGGACAGGAGATAATTGATCAAGATAACAAATGAAGGGCTTAGATTAGAAGCAAAGATGTTAGGGTAGGTAAGTGAAATATGTTTTTAGGCGTGGTAGGGGGAGTTGAGAGTTCTTGTCTGATGGCCTTAATTGTTCCTAAGAGGAAAGGGACAGAGACACCAGCTGAGAGGCATGGGGAGCAGTGGGGTAAAGTGCTTAAGAATGATGGTGAAAATTAGAAATAGCTGTCCCCTGGGAAAGAAGTGAGAAAGTGACCGGACTGAGTCCTGCTCAGGTTGGATGCTGTACATTTGTCACGTATTGTACAGGGTGGTGTGGTTTTCTCCAGCAAATCTGAGTCTAGATTTGACTCAAAAGAATGTAGTAGAAAACAGTTGTTGCTTTGAGTTTGTGATTTTTGCAGAGAGTGTGCAGTGAAAGGAAGAGATTAAGGCCACACAGGAGAGTGGCTGAACTGTTTGACATGCAGTGATTGTAGGATATATGTTTCTCTGTTTTAATCATTTTGTTTTCCAACTCGGAAATCTTCAGCAGTGCCAGTTATGGTGGTACACGCCTATAATCCCAGCAATTCAGGAGGTTGAGGCAGGAAGATTGCATAGTCCAGGCCAACCTCAACAACTTATTGAGACACTTCGCAACTTCTATCCTGTCTCAAAATAAAAAGAACCAGGGATGTAGCCCAGTGATAAGTTCTTCTGCATTCAATGCCCAGTACAAAGAAAGAAAGAAAGAAATCTTCAGTGGCTCCCTTATTTGTTTATTCTAAATTTTTGAATTGATGAACAAGGCAAGATTTTCCCAAAAGCCAATTCTAACCCCCTTCCAATGCTTTCCTGAGACTTATCTATCCACAGTGGTTCCTTTGGGTTTTATTGTTGTTGTTGTTATTGTTGTTTGTTTGTTTAATATTTTTTTATGTGGTGCCGAGGACCCGAGCTCAGGGCCTCACACATGCCAGGCAAGCACTCTACCACAGCCCTAGCCTGGTTCCTTTGTTTTTGCTCTGGCAGTTCTCCATCTCCTCTTCTTGGCTTCCTGAATCCTTGTGCTGCAACCTTCAAAATCTCAGTTTTAATCACACTTCCAGTGACAATCTCCGTGGTCACTTTACCTTGAAAGAGTCCTAGTTTTCCATTTTTTTCCCCCCGTATCACTTATTTAGAGCCTATACTGCCTTATCTCTTACTTTCCCCCCACCCCAGTAGTATTGAACCCAGGGATGCTTTACCACTGAGCTACACTTCTAACCCTTTTTTTTTTTTTAATTTTTAAATTTTGAGATAAAGTCTTGCTAAGTTGCCAAGGCTGGCCTTGAACTTGTGATACTCCTGCCTCAGTCTGCCAGACTGCTGGGTTGTGCCACTACCCTTAGCAACCTTTTTTCTTACTTTGTTTCTTCTATATTGTGTAGTTTTCCATTCTGTAAATAAATTTCTTGAGCAGTGTCTCTCCACCTGCATGGCATTATCTTTTGCCTAGAAGGCACTTCATTTAGAATCTTACAGAAGGAGAGGAAATTAATATTTTGGGGTTGTCACACCAGGTGCAGTGGCATACACCTGTAATCCCAGCAGCCAGGGAGGCTAAGGTAGGAGGATTGCAAGTTTGAGGCCAGTTTTGGTAATTTATCAAGGCCTTAAGCAACTTAGTGAGATTCTGTCTCAAAAAATGAGGGGCTGGGGATGTGGCTTAAGTGGTAGTGCGCTGGCCTGGCATGCGTGAGAGGCTGGGTTCGATCCTTAGCACCACATAAAAATAAATAAAGATATTGTGTCCACCTAAAAGAAAAACGTAAATATTAAAAAAAAAAAAAAAAAGAAAAGGGCTGGGGATGTAGCTCAGTGATAAAGCCTCCCTGGGTTCAATTCCCAGTACTCGCTGGGGTACTCACTTGATACTTATCACTGGGTAGTATGGTTAATATCACTGCTTCTCAAAACTATCTTGGTAAGGCGCTAGGCAGATTTTTCCTTCAAGCTGTTGCAGATCAATACTCTAAAGTTCTTTTAGGGGCTAGAGAAGTGGCTCGGTGGCACTCAATCCCTAGTACCAATAAATACATAAAAACACTTCTATAGAATACAATTACTAGAAAAATAAAATGGAAAAAAAGATATGTAGAATACAGGCTTTTTAGATTATTAATTTAATTTATTTGAACATAAAACTAAGTCAGTCAAATTGTTCTTAGAAACCCTAAATGCTAGTGCTTTCTTTCTTTTCTTTTCTTTTTCTTTTTTTTTTTTTTTTTTTTTTGATACCTGGGGTTGAAGCCGGAGGTGTTTAACCACTGAGCTCTTTTACTTTTTGAGATAGGGCCTTGCTAAATTGCTGAGGCTGGCTGAATTCAGAATCCACCCTTCTCAGTCTTCTGATTTACTGGGATTATAGGTGTGCGCCGGGCGAGTGATTTGTTCTTAAAGTGTCTTGATGAAGACTACCAGCAGTTGTGGATGGGGAGTAGTGTGAACTGCACTGTTTTACATGACCATATTTAAAATTTATGAGGGTGGGTATTTTTATTGTTTTTTCATTTTACTGAGAAGGAAAGTAAGGTTTGGGTTAAGTCAGAAATGCTAACTGCCTTCCCAAGCGTATTAATTCTCAGTGAGTGCTTGGAACAGGGTTGGTTTGGGACAGAGTACTTTGTTTTATTTTGTTTTCAAAAAGTAAGTTAATTTTCTTGGGGCTGGGGTTGTGGCTCAGTGGTAGAGCACTCGCCTGGCATGTGGGAGGCCCTGGGTTCTATCCTTAGCATCACATAAAAAAATAAAATAAACATATTGTGTGCAACTACAACTAAAAAATAAATATTTTAAAAAGTAATTTAATTTTCTCTTTGAATTGTAAATGTATTTAATATTTATCCGTTTTTCCTTTTATTTTTTGCATTCTGAGGCCTAGAACTATTAATTTCAGATCAATAATGCTTTATCTGAATTGCTTGATACTTAGTTGAGTGGGGAAAGTAACTAACATTTTTTTAAATATCCAGATCCATTGGGTCTAAGGTGTTTGATAAAGTTCCCATCTCATCTATGATGAAATATGAAAGTAAAGACAATATAAATGAGGTTTTTCATAAAGTCAAATTAGTTAAATTCAAAGGGCTTGAATTTATCCTGAGACTTTGTCCTTAGCTTTTTGGTATTAAAACACTGAAAACAGAATAATTGTGTGGAGAGTTGTTTATAATAGCTATATTGAAATATAATTAGCATACTATAAAATTTATTTATTTATTTAGTTGTAGATGGAAAGAATACCTTTGTTTTATTTATTTAGTTTCTTATGTGGTGCTGAAAATCAAACTCGGTTCCTCACACATGCTAGGCAAGTGCTCACTACTGAGCTACAACCACAGCCCTAAAATTCATTGTTTTAACCTTGTTTTTAATATATTCATAGTTGTACAATCTTTACTATTTAACATCAGAACATTTTCATCATGCCTAAAACAAACCCTATGCTTATTAGTAGTTATTCTTCATTCCCTTTTGTCCCTGGCAACCAATAATCTATTTCTATTTTTATAGTTTTTCTCATTCTGGACATTAATATAAATGGATTCATATAAAATGTAACCTTTTGGGGGCTGGGGTTGTGGCTCAGTGGTAGAGTGGGAGGCCCTGGGTTTGATCCTCAGCACCACATAAAAATAAAATAAAGATATTGTGTCTATCTACAACTAAAAAATAAAAATAAATTTAAAAAAAGATTTAAGTCTGCACTTAAAAAAAACAACGTAACCTTTTGTGTTTGACTCTTTTTTTTTTTTTTTTTTTTTTGGTACCAGGAATTGAACCAAGGGGCATTCGACTACTGAGCCATATACCCAACCCTATTTTGTATTTTACTTAGAGACAGGGTCTTACTGAGTTGCTTAGTGCCTCACTTTTGCTGAGGGTGGCTTTGAACTCTTGATCCTCCTGCCTCAGCCTCCTGAGCTGCTGGGATTACAGGTGTGTGCCACTGCGCCTGGCATTTCCAGCCCTTTTCATTTTGAGATAGGGTTTCATTGAGTTTATTCGGGCCTTGCTAAGTTGCTGAAGCTGGCTTTGAACCTGAGATCCTGCTGCCTCAGCCTCCTGAACCACTGGAATTATAGGTGTGCATTACTGCACCCATTGGAGGAGTGACATTTGAGCTGGATCTCAAGGGTCACATAGGCTCATAACTTTTGGAGATAAGGAAGAAAGGAGAAGAGACCTCCAGGATAGGGAATAAGCCCTGAGCAGGATTGTATGTCTTGGAACATGTATGTTTGTGGCGTTCCCGATAGCTAGAGGAGACAATGAAGCCATGGATCTGAGTAGAATTGTTTTGGCTGGGTATGTGTGATATTGGTATAATGTCAATAGTCAGATTATTCATAATTCAGGAGAGGAAGGTGAAGCCAGACAGATTGAGTGAGTAGCAAGAGAATGCTGGGTACAATAACATACACCCATAATTCCAGTGACTCGGGAGGCAGAGGCCCAAGGATTGCAATTTAGAGACCAGCCTCAGCAATTTAGTGAGGCCCTAAGCAACTTAGTGAGACCCTGTCTCAAAGTAAAAAAATTAAAAAGGGCTGGAGATACAGCTCAGTGTTAAAGTACCCTTGGCTTCAATCCCCGGTACAAAAGAGAGAACAAACTTACTTTTCCTTCTGAGAAGGAAGGGAGGAAGGAAGGGAGGGAGGGAGGAAGGAAGGAAGGAAAGAAAGGGTATGAACCCCTAAGTTTTCTGTCAGTTGCTAATTTTTTAAATACTATTTGTACCAGAGAGGACTAAAACTCCTGTTGAAAGCTCTTTTATCCCAGTTCTAAAGAATGGCCCAAATTGGGAGCCCCTGGCTTGGGAGCTTTACAATAGGTCCTCTGACCCATTTCTTGTACTTTGCCTATTACACTCAGAACTGCAGGGGATTAGAACCAGAAGTCCTAGCTTTCTTATATACCCTCTTGCTTTCTATCTGCCAAGATTGCTTTGTCCCTATGTCCTTTTTTTTCTCCCAGAAATGGTGGTTGTTACCACCTCTGTTGTTTTTGCCTTTCAGGTAAAGTGATATATGGGAAGCAGAGGTTTGAGTGCTCTGCTGGGGCTGTATTTTGCAAATATTGAATCCTTATTTAGAATTGGTCTACAGTGGAGGAACCAAGATAAAGAGGGAGGGTAGTGGGCTGCGGCTATAGGTCTCAGTTGATAGAGTGCTTGCCTCGCATGCACAAAGCTTTGGGTTCAATCCCCAGCACCGCAAAAAAAAAAAAAAAAAGCGGGAGGGTAGCTGGGAGGACTGTGTAAAACAAAGCCCAGACATGGCTTTGTCTTTATTGTTAGAAGACTATCATTTCACACCTTTCAGAGCCAGATTTTGTGATGCCCTTTCATGAGGAGAACGTGTTGACTTGCCTCTTTATAGCTCTAATGTCTGTTTTTTTTGGTTTTGGTTTTTTGGATTCTGGAGATTTAACCCAGAGGTGTTTTACCACTGAGCTACATTCCATACCTTTTTGTTCTTATTTTGAGACAGGCTCTTACTAAGTTGCTTAGGGCCTTGCTGGCCTTGAACTTGTGATCCTCTGTCTCAGCCTCCCAAGCTACTGGGCTTACAAGTATGTGCCACTGCACCTGGTTTGTTTGGGTTTGTGTGTGTGTGTGTGTGTGTGTGTGCGCGCGCGCGCGCATGCTGGGAATCTAATCCAGGGCCTTATGCATGCTATGCAAGTGCTGTACCATTGAGCTGCACCCCCAGTTCTGTTCTCTCTTTGTCAGCTTCCTAGGCTATGGATTGAAGAGAGCAGACAGGGAAGCCCTTCCATCTGGGTGCATGTGTGTGTGCATGCATGCATGTATGGGTATGCACATAGAGTCAGGGATCTTATATATTGAACCTCTTCTTCAGGGCCCAGGCCTCAGAGTTTTTAGTCTCTGAGACTAAATGGGAAAGAGAAGTCTCCTTTCCGTCCTCCTGGTCACTCAGTGAGTATTTTAATGGTTTCTTATATTGCTAGACTGAGCAGTCAGAAAGTAGGTTACCACTGGGTGGGGGTGGAAGGATAGTAGGCAACCTGAAGTAGACCAATTACATAAATGCAGAGAGATAACATCAGACATTAAACCTTAGTGCTTTGGAAATTCACTACCCATTTCCTGCCAAGGAACAGAAGTGAAGTCGGTGTCTAGAGGTAGGTATGGGAGCCAGGAAAGGTCTTTCTAGAGGTTGCCATTAAGGGCAGAGAGCAGTGCAGCTGAAGGTGCCCTAGAGGACTGGATTGATTAGTATTCCTGATTTTCCACAGGAGCAGGGTAAAGAATATTATGTGTTCGTGTGCATCTGTCTTATTAATGTCCAGTTCCGAGTGCCAAGTATTCTGGATCTGTGCCTATTTAACTATCTGAGGGTTTAAAAATCTGAATAAAAAGGAATAAGCTTCAGAAAAAAGGAAGTGATTTTTCTTCTTTTTTCTTTCTTTCTTTTTTTTTTTTTTTTAATTGGGGATTTAACCCAGGGATGTTTTGCCATTGAGCTGCATCCCCAGATCTTTCTATTTTTTATTTTAAGACGATTTCACTAAGTAGTTTAGGTCCTCACTAAGTAGCTTAGGTCCTCACTTAGTTACTGAGGCTGGCCTTGAACTTTTGATCCTCCTGCTTCAGCCTCCTGAATTGCTTCGGTTACAGGTATGCACCACTGTCCCAGGCTCTGGAGATATTCTAGGGAGTGTGCTGGTTCCTATTCACTCCTTTTCCTTCCCATTCTGTTAGGCTCTGACTTCAACTAAGATTACCAAGTGAGTAACTTTGGGAGGAGAGTGAAGGAACTTTGATTTCCACATTCCCAGTGCCTGAGACGGCCAAGGGCTTCTAGGATGTATCATATACCAAGTAGGCTCACTGTGTAGTCAGAGCTGGGTTTTCTTAATTCTTGTACATGTCAAAGCTGTGACTATGTACAGAAGAGTTAAGAAAGATGAGGGTCCAGTCTGACCATTTGAGCTCTCTAAGGGTAAAAATTTCAGAGCCGATGTCCTTCTCTAGTCATTTTTTCCTGTGAAGTTGTTTAAACTCTTAGACTGTTTCTACAGTTTTAGATCCAGGTTAGAGTATGGGGCAGGTGCTTAATTCATAGGCTCCAGCCTCTTTGTCTTTATCAAATAATAGCCTTAATTTAAAGCTTTCCCTGAAGGGTTGCTCTGTAACTCAGTGGCACCACATTTGCTTAGCATGTGCCAGGCCCTGGGTTCAATCCCTGGCACCAAAAAAAAAAAAAAAGCCTGAGACTGGGAGAAGTACATTTGGTTCTGACCAAAATGAGGCATTTGGGGATCTTGCTCAAATATTCTGACCATTATTGCCCTGTCCTGTTCCTCTCTGTTCTTCACAGAGAGGATGCTGCATTCATTTTTTTCTTGTCTCTGCAGGTCTCTCCATTTTTGTCTCCTCTGTCTCTATTATCCTTACTTCTCCTTTGGTGGTCTTCTGATGTATGGACTTGTACATGATGAACTGTGAACTTCTAGCCACGTGTAGTGCCCTTGGGTACTTGGAGGGAGACATTTATCACAAAGAACCAGATTGTTTAGGTGAGTACCTTTTTGAGGAGTCAGATTTTTTTAAAAAAAATTGCTTGAATTGAGGTGGTCTGTTGAATTTCTCAAGCTATAAGTATGAAAAGCATATGGGCCTGGGTGGAACTTTGTCCAGTTTTTGAGGTATGTGTTTATTCTGTCTCTGAAGAGAGTGTGAAGGATTTGATCCGGTACTTGAGGCATGAAGATGAGACGAGAGATGTGCGGCAGCAGCTAGGAGCATTCCAGATAATGCAGAGTGACCTCTTACCCATTCTTACCCAGCACCACAAGGATAAGCCTCTCTTTGATGCTGTTATCAGGTTCATTCCCTAGCTTTTTTTTTAATCACATGCCAGCATTTGTATTTAAGCTGATAGGTTTTGGTGCTTGTTCCTGGCAAGGAAGCCTAATGACTTCTTCCTTCATTGTCTCCCCAGACTGATGGTAAACTTGACACAACCAGCCTTGCTCTGTTTTAGCAGTGTGCCTAAGGAGCCCAGCATGCGCCACCACTTTATACAGGTGCTCACTTATCTACAGGCCTACAAAGAGGTGAGATAGTCCTTCAGAGTCCCTGGGGCAGATTGTGGTGCAGTAGGGGAAGAAGGTACAGACACTATGTGAGATCTGTTCACTGTTCCACAGGCCTTCGCCAATGAGAAGACTTTTGGAATCCTCAGTGAAACCTTGTATGAGCTGCTGCAACTGGTGAGTGTTTGCTCTGTAGGAGCCCCTGGGACCATTATCAGAGGTGAAGATGCTGAAACTGGAGGTGTGATCCTAGTTGTTGGGGATATGATCGTCTACTCCATAGTCTCTGACTGCCTCAGGACTGTTTTAATCTTTCTTTTCTTTCTTTTTTATTCTGATTCTCTTCTGTACCTTGGTCCTCCAGCCCTGGTGGATACCACCTGCCTTCCACATGGAGTCTCTTCTTCTAACTCTCCTCCTTCTGACTAGGGCTGGGAGGAACGACAGGAGGAAGACAACTTGCTGATTGAGCGGATCCTACTGCTGGTCAGAAATATTCTCCATGTTCCAGCTGACTTTGACCAAGAGAAGGTGAGGGTCAGGTGGTCTAAGTTAGATTGAACTGCCCTTTTTGGGCTTTTCTGCATCTGACAAGTCTACGGGAAGAACCTTGGCAAAGAAATCAGGTGCAGAGCTTCCAGGAAGAGCTGTGGAACTGAATGCCCTTTCTTCCTCTCATCTCTCATTGCTCAGAGGATCGATGATGATGCCAGTGTCCATGACCAGCTTCTCTGGGCTATTCACCTTAGTGGCCTGGATGACCTTCTCCTCTTTTTGGCCAGCTCACCTGCCGAGCAACAGTGGAGCCTGCATGTACTAGAGATTGTCTCCCTTATGTTTCGTGATCAGGTAAGACCCAGGCCTATTGTCCTTTTGCACAGGCACTTTTCTGCTACATGGTCAGCATTGCTTTTATAGTAATGGCTGAATTATCTAGGGAAATTAGCAATGGATAGAGTAGCTGTGTCTTCAATATAGAGTCCCATCACCAGTCCTGTTTTGATCATTCTTTCCATCCTTATCAGGAGTGAACTCAGGATAAGAAATGACTGTCCTTCTGACTCTTTTCCTGCTTCTTCCAAATGTAGAACCCTGAGCAGCTGGCAGGAGTAGGGCAGGGACGCTTAGCTCAGGAGCGGAGCATAGATGTGGCAGAACTGGAGGTGTTGCGCCAACGAGAGATGGCGGAGAAAAAGACTCGAGCCCTCCAACGAGGCAACAGGTAGGTGACTGAGAGCTGCTCTATCTGTGTTCCTGTCCTGTGGCAAGGAATGCTGAGCACTTGGGGGCCAGATCTAAGACACTGGAGACTGAATAACATTTTACAGCTTTAACTCATTTTGAGCTGCTGATGAAAGAGAGTGAAACAAAGCTTCCAGAGAATTGAAAAATCTCTCTGGCCTCCCTTGTTGCTGCTGTTCCCCTGTAGGCATTCTCGATTTGGGGGCTCCTACATTGTCCAAGGGTTGAAATCCATTGGGGAGAGGGACCTCATCTTTCACAAAGGCCTTCACAATGTAAGTATTTGCACATTTGGAATGGGAACACTGGAGTTGCAGGGCCTAAGAATGACCATCTGTGGATTTAAAGCATCTCCATTCTTAGCCTTAGAAAGTTGGTGACAGCAGAAGTAGAGCCTCTGGCATTAGCCACATTGTCTTTACTGAAGTCTTCACAGAAAACTTTCTAATAAGAGTTTCTTCTGAGGAAATTGCAGTACCAGGGATATGGAAAGAGCTGTGATACATCTAATCCCTGCCCCACACCCCCAGCTTCGAAACTACAGTTCAGATTTGGGAAAGCAGCCCCGAAGGGTGCCCAGACGTCGCCGGGCTGCCCAGGAGCTGTCCATTCAGCGCCGCTCTGCCCTCAATGTGAGACTCTTCCTCAGAGACTTCTGCTCTGAGTTCCTGGAGAACTGTTATAACCGGCTTATGGGTTTGGTAAAGGTGAGAGTCTGGGAAAGATATGGAGGCCATCAGGGATGGAATAGAGAGGTGATGGTGCCAGTGAGGGTAAGAAGGGCAACCCAGGTAGGCACCTGTGGGAGGCTGTCCCTGGAGTTTATAGTGGGAAGGAGATAGTGTGCACCTGAGAGATGGTGACGATGCAGAGGGAGTGGGTTATTAGCATGACAAGAAGGGCTTGTAGAATTGACCCAGAGGAAGGGGAGGAGGACATGGGGAGAAGAGAGAATTGGAATTTGTGGATCCTAGAGAAATATTATAGTGGTGTCCACGATCTACCCCATCATCAGGCCAGGAAGAAGGTGGAAGCCCTGGGATAATGGTGATCTTTTTTTTTTTTTTTTATGTTAGGATCACCTGCTTCGAGAGAAAGCTCAGCAACATGATGAGACCTACTATATGTGGGCCTTGGCTTTCTTTATGGCCTTCAATCGAGCTGCCTCCTTTCAGCCAGGGTTGGTTTCAGAGACCCTCAGTGTCCGTACCTTCCATTTCATTGAGCAGAACCTCACCAACTACTATGAGATGATGCTGACTGACCGCAAGGAAGCCTCCTCCTGGGCACGACGGTGAGAGGGATAATATTGGGATCACAGTGAACATCTAGGTCTGGGTGAGAGTCCGAATACACACACATGCACATACACACACACACACACATTTTTTCTTTTGGTATCCAGAATTGAAACCAGGGTTAATTAACTACTGAGCCATATCTCCAGACTTTTGTTTTTGTTTTTGTTTTGTTTTGTTTTCTGTTTTATTTAGAAATAGGGCCTCACTAAGTTCCTCAGGCTGGCTTTGAATTTGCCATCCTCCTGCCTCAGCCTCCCAAGTCTATAGTATCATAGGCATGTGCTACCATGCCCAGTGAACACCTAGATTGTGGATGGCACCTTTTCCTAATACAGGGTGAGGTGGTCAGGCTGGGAAGCAAGCACTAGTGAGGTCATGTTTTGGGTGGCACTTTAGGCAGGTTGATGTTTTCATGAGACAGTGCCCTAAGTTGTCCTCCATTTTTCTTTGTCTTTAACTCATAGGATGCACCTGGCTCTCAAAGCCTATCAGGAACTTCTGGCCACAGTGAATGAGATGGACATGTCTCCAGAAGAGGCTGTGAAAGAGAGCAGCCGCATCATCAAGAGTGAGGCCCTGGCCCAATCCCTAATCCCAGCCTTCCCATCTTTGACTAGAATCTTATTCCTCACTGTTCCAACTTTATCCATCTTTTCTTTTCTAAGTTTCCAGACCAGTCCTTCCATTCCTTTCTCTTCCCCACTCCTAGACAACATTTTCTATGTGATGGAGTATCGAGAACTATTCCTGGCACTCTTTCGAAAGTTTGATGAGAGATGCCAGCCCCGCTCCTTCCTTCGTGACTTGGTGGAAACCACCCACCTCTTCCTCAAGATGTTGGAACGGTTTTGTCGGAACCGTGGGAACCTGATGGTGCAGGTACTGGGCAGTGGCAGGATGTGTAAAGAGCTGTGTGGGAGGGTGAAGGACAGAGGGGGCTTTCTCCTTGCATTTTATGTAGCTTAAGCTGGTCTGTTAGAGCTACTCTGAAATAAGAAGGCAGGAGGCTTGTGTTGCCCATGTGAATCTACCATGGTTTCCTTTTCCCATTAGATTTTTTTCCTGGTTTACCATAAATATCTTAGTTCATTCAGGAAACTTTTTGTGAACACCTACTAAGTGCTAGGCACATAAACTTATAAGAGTTTAATGATTATGGGACTGGGGTTGTGACTCAGCAGTAGAGCTCTCACCTAGTACATGTGAGGTACTTGGTTCAATCCTCAGTGCCACATAAAAATAAAATAAAGATATTGTGTCCACCTACAACTAAAAACTATATTGGAAAACAAAACAACATGTTTTGTACAGAACCTTCCTATAATTCTAGTTGCTACAGTTTAAAATTCTATCAGAACTGGACTTGAAAGGGGTAGCAATACCAATGAGACTTTGCTAAAAGGTATTTTTACACTTAGGGCTCTGTGGTATTATCAGTAATAATGGTGCTATAATTTATCCAGCATTTACTGTATGTTAAACACTGCTAAGGTTTTCATGTAATCCCCACAACAGCGTTAGAATACATGTACACAGTGGTCCAAGATTGTGTGAGTAAAGAACTGTTATTGATACCCAAATGTAGATGGCTAGACTCTAGAGCTCATGTTCCTACCTTTAGTGTGTTTGATTATAAGTTTCTTTTCTTTTTTCTTGTTTGGTACCAGGAATTGAACCCAGAGACACTTAACCACTAAGCCACATTCCCAGCCCTTTTTATTTATTTTGAGATAGGGTCTTGTTAAGTTGCTTAGGGCCTCACTAAATTGCTGAGTCTGGCATTGAACTCACAATCCTCCTACCTCAGTCCCCTGAGCCACTGGGATTACAGGCATGCACCAACTCACACGGCTGATTATAAGTTTCTTTTTTTTTTTTTTTTTTTTTTAAAGATAGAGTGAGAGAGGGAGGGAGAGAGAGAAAGAATTTTTTTTAATATTTATTTTTTCGTTTTCGGCGGACACAGCATCTTTATTTGCACGTGGTGCTGAGGATCGAACCCGGGCCGCACGCAGGCCAGGCGAGCGCGCTACCGCTTGAGCCACATCCCCAGCCCTATAAGTTTCTTGAATGGAGTGGGAGCCTCAAGGGCCCTCCAATCCATTCATCCTATTTGACTTCTGAGAGCTCACACAAAAGACTGGTTCACAGTTGTGACCTGAGGGAACAGAATTTGGGGGTTGACTCACTCTCTTTCTAAGAGAAAAAAATGATGGGCTTTATTTTTATGTATCTTGCTTAATCCTCATAACAAATCTATTCATCCTTTAGATTTTTCCTTAGGATATCACTGCTTTTGGCAAACTCTCCTACTCCAAGAAATAGGCATTTTATGCTCATCCACATTATAGCTCTTATCCATTCCGTAAGGTATTTCTTGTTTACTTGCCTTTCTCTAGAGTATGAGCTCCTTGGGGGAGGACACGTATTGTTTACTATGGCTTCCATTGCCTATGAGCAGCACATAATAGGCACTAGGCACTTTGAACATTCACTTAGTTTTGTAATAGAGAAGACATTCATGGGAAAAAGACTTTCTTAGTGCTCCTGCTATTTTCATGCAGTTCTTTCCCCATAGAACAAACGAAAGAAGAGAAAGAAGAAAAAGAAGGTTCTAGACCAGGCTGTTGCTTCTGGGAATGTTCCACATAGCCCAGAGGAGCTGGAGACTATGTGGCTGATCCTGGCTGAGCAGCTGCAGTGTTGTACCCAGGTAGGTGGTTGCAGAAGCTCTATCTTTTTAAAGACTAGTGCTCTGGGTAGACAGTCTGGGTTTTCTTCCCCCTTTGTTCCCACACATTATCTATCTATAGGATCCTGAACTCAATGTAGAATCCATGGTTCCCTTTGATGCGGCCTCAGAAGTGCCAGTGGAAGAGCAGCGAGCAGAAGCCATGGTGCGGATACAAGACTGTCTCCTTTCTGGTCGGGCCCCACAGGCCCTGGCTCTATTGAGATCTGCCCGGTAAGAGCCCTGCCCACCCATCCTCCTGGACTTTAGGGGCATGAGGAGGCCTTCACTATAGTACAGGGTTCTTGGTCTTCAGAAAAGAGAAATTCTGTCTGTGTCTCTGTATTGAACAGTGACTGGGGAACTTTGATGGGCTTATTTGAGTATATTATTTGTTGAGAAATAACAAAAAGCATAGTTAATTGGGGGAAAAAATAAAGATAATTTTATCCAAAAATAACTGTCATTAACTTTTTTTTTTTTTTTGGTGGTGCTGGAGCCATCAATATTTTCATGACCAACTTTCTGGAGTTCATTATGTTAGACATTATCTATATCATATACATATATATCTTCTTCTACAAAAATAATGAAATATTATATGTTCTGATTTACATCTTTTTTTTCCCCCTGTACTGGGAATTGAACTCAGGGATTCTATACCACTGAACTTCATCCCCAACCCTTTTTATTTCTTTTTTACTTTTGATTTATATTCTTGAATTTGCAATCTCCTGCCTCAGCCTCCCAAGTACTACTACTACACCTGCCTTTTTAACTTCTTAATATATTTTGAACATTAATTCTCATCAGATATGTTTCTGTAATTGTCAATGACTTTCAAACACCATCGTGTAATATGTACATTTGCTCAACTAAGTGTCAGCATTTAGATTGTTTGCATTTGTTCTTACATGATTTTCTTGCAATGCAACTTACAAGGAAAATTTCCATAAAGTCTGTTACTCTTAGGTAACAGTTTGCATTATCTTTCTGGCTTATAAATAAGGTAAGACTAAATTCTTCTGCTTCTAATTACAACTCAGATTTCCTATAATTAAGGCCTTTTTCTGTCTGTGCTCCAGAGAAGTGTGGCCAGAAGGAGATGTATTTGGCTCTCAAAACATTTCCCCTGAGGAAGAGATGCAGTTGCTGAAACAAATCCTCTCTGCTCCACTGCCCCGTGAGTCTCCATTCCTTCACAACCCTCTTTTTCTACCTGTGCTCCAGCACTAGCATAACAGAGACCTGTAATCCTCACTATATAGGACAGCAGGGGCCAGAGGAAAGAGGAATAGAGGAAGAGGAGGAAGAGGAGGAGGAGGAGGAGGAGTTGCAAGTCGTCCAGGTGTCAGAGAAAGAGTTTAACTTCCTGGACTACCTGAAACGGTCTGGGCCCAGAGGGCTGAGTTGGTCCCAGGATGGTGTGATTGTACAGCTGTTAGAATGAGCAGTGTCTTTCTAATTCTGACTTCCTTTCCCTCATTGTTTTGGTGCAGCTTTGCATGTTCAACTGTTGTGCGAGCCTATGTAATGCTGCTTCAGAGCTACCAGCAGAATAGTGCCCACACTAATCACTGTGTGGTCAAGATGCTGCACCGGCTGGCCCATGATCTCAAGATGGAAGCCCTGCTTTTCCAGCTCTCAGTCTTTTGCCTCTTTAATCGTCTGCTTAGTGACCCTGCTGCTGGAGCCTACAAAGTGAGGGACTGCCAAGAACTGGAGTTCTTGATCATATATAAATGATCTTCAGGAGATAAGGAAGCTGAGGTGTCAATAGCTGGGAGATGAGAACACAGTAAAGAAGCCAGCAGGCAGATTGAGGGGGCTGTACGGGGAAGGATAGAAGAGTCTGAGTGAGAAGGGGCAGCTGGGAACTGGAAAGAAAACACCCAGGGGGCCAGGTCTATGTATCCATTTGGGCTGAAGCATCATAGCAGCTTTACTCTCCTATAGGAGCTAGTAACTTTTGCCAAGTACATTCTGGGCAAGTTCTTTGCACTGGCTGCAGTCAACCAGAAAGCCTTTGTGGAGCTTCTGTTCTGGAAGAACACAGCTGTGGTTCGAGAGATGACTGAGGGCTATGGTTCCCTGGATGACAGGTGAGCTTAGGGATTGGGAAGGATGGGCAGTAGGGGAGGGTGCAGAATCACAGAAGTTCAGAGCTGGAAGAACTTGCAGGCAAATAATTAAAAAATTAATTAATTAATTAATTAATTAAAAAAAAAAAAAAAGAACTTGCAGGCCATTTGGTCTGTTTCTTTACCTTCCAGAGGTAAAGATCAGAAGATGAAATGCTTTACCTAGGACCAGGGGCTGGAGCCTGACTTCTGTCTGCTCTAGTTTTCTGCTCCATCATCAGACTTTATAAAGGTGGTTGCTGAAGGAAGTAAGGTGGCCCACCAGGAGCCCTCTCCCAAAATGTGCTGGGAAAGGCTATAGACATAGCTCAGTGGTAGGGCACTTGCCTCTCATACGTGAAGTTCTGAGTTCAGTCCCCTATACTGCCAAAAAAGAAAGAAAAGTGCTGAGATAAGAATTCACATAAATGTTTGTTCCCTTTTCTTTAGTATATTACCCCTCTGCTTTCACGCTGCTCATTTTCCCATACTACTATTAGTACTTGTAATGTCAGATTCCAAGGGAAAATCTGAGTTTGACTTTTGTTTTTTGTTGTTGTATTAGCACTGGAGATTGAACCCAGGGGTGCTTGACCACTGAACTATATCTCTATCCCTTTTAATTATTTCACTTTGAGATGGGTCTTGCTAAGTTGCTGAGGCTGGCCTCAAACTTGCAAACCTCCTGCCTCAGCCTCCCAAGTCACTGAGATCATAGACATATGCCACCACACACAGCTGTTGTTATTGTTGTTTTTGGTACTTGGGGATTGAAGCCAAGGGTACTTTACCACTGATCTTTGATACCTTGACCTTTTTTAAAATTTTGAGACAGGGTCTTGCTAAGTGGCCAAGATTGGCCTTAAAATTTTTATCCTGCCTCAGCCTCCTGAGTAGTTGGAATTACAGGCATGCACCACTGTACCTAGCCTCTTTGGATTCTTAAGTGGAAGGAAAATGAGGAGAAGGAAGCACATATTAGTCCTCTGCTAGGTGGAACACTTCATGCTACCTGCCTCACCCTTTCAGAACTGATAGGGAGGATCTTTGGTCTCCTTTTTGGGGGCCAACGATCTATTTCGCTCTCTCTCCTCTTTCCCCATTCAGGTCTTCCAGTCGCAGAGGCCCTGTGTGGAGTCCTGAGGAAGAAGCTCAGCTTCGAGAATTATACCTTGCCCATAAGGATGTGGAAGGTATGAGGCCTTAAGATCTGAAGTGTTTATGAGGATAGAAGTCTGAGCATGAGGAACCCTCTTTACTGCCTCATACCTTCTTCACTTCAGGTCAGGATGTGGTAGAAGCCATCTTGGCACACCTGAATACTGTTCCAAGAACACGAAAGCAGGTCATCCACCACCTGGTACGGCTGGGACTAGCTGATAGTGTCAAAGATTTCCAAAGGTAGGCATATGCTCTGGAGGGAACTGGGATGGAAATTCCTCAGTTCATTCCCTGGCCTCCTCTTCCAATGACAACCTCCCTAAACAGAAAAGGAACCAATATTGTATTGTGGACAGAAGATCAGGAGCTGGAGCTGCAACGGCTTTTTGAGGAGTTCCAGGATTCAGATGGTGAGAGAGGTGGATGCTCAGGGAACCTTATGAGATGAGAACTAATCTGTCCACTTATTTATTCCCTGCCTCCTAATCCCAAGGGAAGTTTATCAGATTCCTTATGTTGACTTCCTCTAAGTGTCATTTTAAGGTGAATTGATTTAGTCTCTTTCTAGAGACCTCTGATTTCCTTTACTAAGACCTCAGATATCCTTAACTAATCCTTTCCCCCATTTGTTCTAGAGTATTCACACATTCCCTCTCTGTAGATGTCCTTGGTCATATCATGAAGAATATAACAGCCAAACGCTCACGGGCTCGAATAGTGGATAAACTTCTGGCTCTGGGGCTGGTAGCTGAGAGGCGGGAGTTGTACAAGAAACGGAGGAAGAAATTGGTGCCCTCCAACATGGTAACAGTCTTACCCTGGCTCTCCCATCCCAAGCCCACTCCCTTTGAAGTGCTCCCTGGAAGTTACCCACCAAGATTCTTCCAGCCTCAAGCTATTTTGACTAGGTCCTTCCAACAGGGTGGTCAGGAACCAGAAAATGCCACTGAAATGTGGTGTTTCTTTTTTCACAATCTCCTATCCCCTTGATGAATTTCAGCCCAAAGATGAGGGGTCCCTGCAAGATTTTTGTCAGGAAGATCTTCAAGATGAGGAACCCTTGCCAGAGGAAGAGAATGAGGAGGATGAAGAGAAAGAGGAAAGCTTGGATGCAGAACAAGACCAAGGTGGCTCATTTCTTTCAACTGAAAACCTTGGTCAAGGCCTACATCAAGAAGGTAAGGAGCTTAGTTGGGAGAAATGTCTCAAATGGAGGGTTGGGATGGGGGTAGGGACCAAATATGTTTCCCTTTCGCTCTTAGGCTTTTCTGCTCCCCTCCTATGGCTCCACAACTGCCTGATTCGAGCAGCAGATGATCGGGAAGAAGATGGTGAGTGAACAGATGACGATTTTAGGACTAGAGCACTGGAAGCCACTGGACCTGCATGTGGGATGGAGGCAGTTTTTTCCTAGCATCTTTACCATGTGACTATTGGCTCTGTTCTAGGCTGCTCCCAGGCAGCTCCACTGGTACCACTGACAGAAGAAAATGAGGAAGCAATGGAAAATGAACAGTTTCAGCAGTTACTGTACAAGCTAGGGATCCGGCCACCTGTCTCTGGTCAGGCAAGTACACCAGTCACAGTGTCAGCCAGTTATCCTCTCTGTGTTTCTCATTGCCCTTGTCATTTCGGAACAAGATTCCTGTAGCAGCTATTTCTGTTGATCCACAACTTCCAAATGGCACACCAACCTTTGCAGGCCCCCGTGACCATTCCACCCACACAGTTACTTCACATTGTAGTCATCCTGGATTACTTTTCATCCTTACATGGTAGGTTTTTCTATACTTCTCTAAACAGTTGACAATGCCAGTCCCTCTGTTGAAAGTCCAACCACACACAAAGATATATACACACGTGCACACATACACACACAACCCATCTTCCTGTTGAATCTCAACCCTTTCTTCAAGAGTCAGCTCAAAGCAGGAGCTGAGGCAAGAGGATCATGAGTTGAAGGCTAGGCTCTGCAACTTAGCAAGACCCTATCTAAAAAATAAAAAATGATAAAGACTAGGGGTATAACTCAGTAGTAAAGTACACTTGGGTTCAATCCTTAGTATCACCCCCACCCCCAGGAAAAAGCTCAATTTTCACTTCCTCAGAAAAGCAGTCCTTATCAGTCCTTAGTATAGAAAAACCTACCATTTAAGGATGGAAAGTAATCCAGGATGACTACAATGTGAAGTCATTCAATCCTTTCAATCCCTGAAGCAAAAATAATCACTTTGGCCACTGAAATTTGTTCATTCCCTCATAGAGCCCAATCCAATGGTATTATAGCACATTCATTCTTTCTCCCATTAGGTTGTGAGTTCCTTGAGAGCAAGGACCATACCTGGTTCACCTTTCAGTCATCAGGAGCCATTCATTAATTCAGTTAACAACTGTATTTACTGGGAATGTCATAATATAGCAGGCACTATGCTAGACACTATATATATATATGATAAGTAGAGTTCACAACTTTTCTGAATCTTTACCAATGTACTGTCATATTTATTCAATGAATAACAATAATCTGTTGAATGGAGTCTAGTCCTTTTACTTTGCAGTCATGTTTGACCTCTGGTGCCCTGTAGGAAACTTTCTGGCGAATCCCAGCCAAACTGAGCCCTACTCAGCTCCGGAGAGCGGCATCTGCTTTGGGTCAACCAGAGAAGGAGGAGAAGCTGCAGCCAGAACTAGAACCAAGAGACCTTGGAGAGCAAGGCTCCAGTGAGGAGCACCAAGCAGAAGCCCTGAGAGCCCTCTTGTTGGCCCGCAAAAAGAAAGTAGACCTTGCGCCCTCAGAGGGTAGTAGTACAACAGCTCTTCTACTAAGCACTTACTTCATGCCAGCCATGTTGGGCTAGAAGGCTGATAAGATATTTTGAACAGGTCCAGTTCCCTAATTTTGTGCCTCTTACAGTAACTTCAGAGGAAGGAACTCCTGGTGGGAAAGAGCAGCTAAAGATAGCAACCAAGAAGCGACACCTGCTGGACAGTGATGAGGAACAGGAGGAAGACGAGGGTAGAAGCAAAGGTAGGGAGTCTGACTGGGACCTGCTTTTTCTTCAAATACCTAACTTCAGCCTGAAGACAAACTGTAACACCTGCCTGATCCTTTAACATATGTCCTCCCTCCTCCCTGTCATTCCCATAGCACCAGAGATGGGAGCGCCAATACTCCAAAAGAAGAAACGGTTTCTGATTGAAGATGAAGATGAGAGTGACTGAAGAGCCAGAAGCCTAGGGGTAGAGATAGATTTGGTTTTATATGGTGAATTCAAGTCATAATTTGGAGGTCCCAGAATCTCCTCTTATGGACGCAGCAGGGTCACGGACCCTTCCACAGATTTAGGGCCCAGGCATTTTTAGGCAGCAATGTTGGATGGACCATTCTGTAGTCAGTCCTTGCTTCTGTCAGCTTTATTCAGTGTAGCCCAACAGCTCTCTGAAGACTTACTGTTCTGGGAACCATATCCTTTGGTGACTAGAGCCCCTTAGCAAATCGGAGGAGTAAGTGAATTATAGAAGGCACCTTGGACCCTCTCGTTGGTCTGTTCCTTTTCCGCTGGAAGTGGACCACAACTTCCAGATAGGAAGCTTTAGGACAGTGTCTGGGGGTTTCACATCCTTTTTAGAAGGCATTGGATTCCCTTGTTCTCATTTTCTTTCCAGAGATTATTCCCTGAACACCAGATTGAGCCTAATTCCTGCCATTGAGGTAGAATTGGATGCAGTGCTTTGAAGATAATGAATATACTTGATTTATGTTTGGTATTAAATTAAACATGTAGAATTAAAAATTGTTGATCTTAGTCTGACTTGTCAATCTGTCTGAGTTTCCCAGCCATCCACTTTCTGTGTTTTTGGAAGAACTTTAAAATGGTAGAATTAAGACACCATCTGCCTTCCCTTTCTCCTTCTTCCCCTCTTCCTCTATATAAGACACAGAGAATGTTTGCACCTCATGATCCTTCTGGATTCAGTAGCATGTGCCTATATTCCTATCTGTTCTGGAGGCTGAGACAGGAGGATTGATTTAATCCAGGAGTTTGAGGCCAACCAAGGCAATTTTGACCCCTGTCTTAAAAAAAAAAAAAATTCTTCATTTAGGGTAGATTTTAGGGTGACAATGTGTGCAGTAGAAATAAGCAAGAGCCACACAGAAAAAGCCAATTCTTCAGCATGAAGCAGTGGAGAGGACAGTGACTAAGCAAGAAAAAGATGGATGAGCCAATGTCATGTCCTTAACTAGTCTTAGAAATGGTCTGTTTCCAACTGAGCTAGGGGGAAGGTGAGATTCAGAAAATGTCCATTCAGATCACAGAGTGTTCAAGGTAAAGGATATATCTTTTAACGTTTTTGTTTGTTTCTTGTAGTGTTAGGGATTGAGCCCAGGGATGATTTGCCACTGAGATACATTTCCAGCCCTTTTTATTTTTTATTTTTATTTATGATACCAGAAATTGAACCCAGGGATGCTTAACCACTGAATCACATCCCCAACCCTTTCTATTTTTTTATTTTGAGATGGAGTCTTGCTCAGTTTCTTTGGGGCCTTGCTAAGTTGCTTGAGGCTGGCCTTGAACTTGTGATCCTTCTGCCTCAGCCTTCTAAGTCACTGGGATTACAGGCAAGAGCCACTACACCTGATCCTTTTTATTTTTTACTTTGAAACAGGGTTTGCTAAAGCTAACCTTGAACTAGCTATCCTGTCTCAGCCTCCCAAGTTACTGGGAATACAGGTGTGCACCACCATGACTAGCAAAGGATATGTTTGAACTATCATTTCTTGAACTTGTGTTTTGTTTTTGTTTTTTATTTCCCCTAAACAAATGAGGGACTCCTACATCCTCTAAAGCTGGGGATGAAACTATGTCCAGAGTAACTGAAGTTTCTAAGGGCTGAGATGCATGCTGGCTCTGACCACTCTTTTTTTTTTTTTTTTTTTTAATATTTATTTATTTTTGTTTTAGTTCTCGGCGGACACAACATCTTTGTATGTGGTGCTGAGGATCGAACCCGGGCCGCACGCATGCCAGGCGAGCGCGCTACCGCTTGAGCCACATCCCCAGCCCCTCTGACCACTCTTTGTGTCTCTTCATTGTGAACTTTCCTCACTTCCCAGCGTGAGTGCTGCTGCTTTTCTCCAGCAAAGCTGTTCTACTGTCCCATCATGATTTGGCTGTGCTGCCCCTTTGTTGTTTTGCCCTCAGAACTTGATCCTTTTAGGTATTTATGGAAGCTTTATTATGTAAGCATGACTGACTAAAATCATTGGCCATTAATTTTATCAACTAGATTTTCAGCTTCTCTCCCCTCCTGAAAAGTCAAGGGTAGAGGTGGGACTGAAATTTCCAAATTTTTGTTCATAGGGTTGGCAACCAGCCCCTTCATTAGCATTCATCACTCCAGAAATACCTAGGATTTTCAGAGGTACATATCAGTAAATTGGATGAAAACAGCTGGGCACGGTGTAGCACACCTGTAATCTCAATGACATGGGAGACAAGGCAGGAGGATTGCAGGTTTGAGGCCAGCCTTGACAATTTTGTGAGACCCTATCACAAAATGGAAAAAAAAAAAAGGCTGGGGATGCAGCTCAGTAGTAGAATTCCCCCGGTTCAATCCCCAGTACCAAAAAAAGAGGGGAGGAAACCAAATAATATTTCATATTATTTTAACCCCTTCCTTAGTGTCAAATGATGTTATTTTTCACAATAATATATTTTGCTCTGAAGTCTACTGATTTAAATATAGCCACTGAAAATATGTATGGTTTTTTAAAACATTTTTAATTATTTAATTAGGTATATATGACAGAATGCATTTTGATTCATTGTACACAATTGCAGCACAACTTCATTTCTCTGGTTGTGCATAATGTAGCATGGCACCATATGTGCAGTCATACATGTACCTAGAATAATGATGTCCATCTCATTCCACCATCTTTCCTGCCCCCATGTCCCCTCCCTATCCCTCCCTCCCCTTTGCCCAATCAAAGTTCCTCCATTCTGCCCCCCTCCCCCGCCTCCCTCCACACACACATACATTATGTGTGTGTGTGTGTGTTTTAACTGGAGATTGAACCCAGGGTGTCACCCATGCTAGTCAAGTGCTGTAGCACTGAGCTATATCCCAACCCTCATTGCAGCTTTTTCTTGATTAATGCTATTACGACAAAACTTTTTCAACCCTTTTTTTTTTTTTTTTTTTTTAATGGTACTGCGAATTTAACCCAGGGGCACTTCACCACTGGATTACATCCCCAGCCATTTTCTATTTTCAGACAGGGTCTCACTAAGTTGCTGAGGATGGCTTCATACTTGTGATTCTCTTGCTGTAGCCTCCCAAATCACTGGAATTACTGGCGTGTGCTACTGTGCCCAGCTTTTTCCATCCTTTCAAACTAGGTTTCTTGTTTGTTGGGGAGGTCAGTACTGGTGATTTAAATCAGGGAAGCTCTATGACAGCTACACCTCCAGCCCTTTTTATAATTTTTATTTTTTTGAGACAGGATCTTACTAAATTGCTTTAAATTTGTGATCTTCCTGTCTCAGACTTCTAAGTTGCTGGGATTACAGGCATATGCCACCATGGATTAAAATGGATTTCTAGGGCCATGGATGTAGCTTAGTTGCCAGAGCCCTAGGTCAATTCCCACTCCTGCAAAAAATAGATTTCTTATAGGAAGAATATAGTTGGGTTTTCTCTAACCCAATCTGACAATCTTTTGGGGGCTAGGGTACAGCTCAGTGGTAGAGCTTTTGCCTAGCATTTGCAAGACCCTGATTTCAATCTCCAGCACTAAAAAAAAAGAAGAAGAAGAAATGCAGAAAGAAAAACTCCATATCTTTATTAAAACACCTATCCCAGGGCTGGGGATATGGCTCAAGCGGTAGCATGCTCGCCTAGCATGCGTGTGGCCCGGGTTCGATTCTCAGCACCACATACAAACAAAGATGTTGTGTCCGCCGAAACTAAAAAAATAAATTAATAAATGTTAAAAAAAATTAAAAAAAAATAAAAATAAAAAAACACCTATCCTACTTTAAATATGCTCAGAATACTTACAACAAAAACCCTGTTTATAAAGTGTTGAATATCTCATGTACGCACATGTTAATATTTTGTGCAGGATGGGATCTGGAAGCAGAACAATAACCCAAAAACACTGACAATATAGAACACTAGACCATTAGTTATTTTTTTACACTTGTGATTACTTGACTGACTGGGATTTGCTGTTGCCAACATGTTAAGAGGATACGTTACAGGCTGGGGTTGTGGCTCAGCAGTAAAGTGCTCACCCAGCACACATGAGGCCCTGGGTTTGATCCTCAGCACCACATTAAATAAATAAATAAAGATTTTAAAAAATCGTAAACTTAACCATCATAAATTGGTTACCCCTGTCTCAAAAATTTAAAAAGGGCTGGGGAGGCACCTCAGGGGTAGAGCATTTACCTAGCATGCATGAGGCCCTATGTTCAATCCCCAGTGCCACAAAAAAGAAGACAAAACATTTTTTTTTTTTTTTTTTTTTTTTTTTTTTTTTTTTTTTTTTTTTTTTTTTTAATATTTTTTTTTTATTTTTTAGTTCTTGGCGGATACAACATCTTTGTTTGTATGTGGTGCTGAGGATCGAACCCGGGCCGCACACATGCCAGGCGAGCGCGCTACCGCTTGAGCCACATCCCCAGCCCGACATTTTTTTTTCTTGAGAAACAGAAAATTTTCAATTACAGTCCTAGCCATGCTTGTCATCTTTGTTTATTAATCACTATTGACCTGATAAACAATACAGAAGCACTATGAGATAGGCAATAGCGTAGACATTTAAAATTTTAAAAAACAGTTTGAAGTGGTTGGTGAATTGGCATCAGCAGAACCTGAGGTTGGGGAGTGTCCTTCCTAGGTCTTCTCTGATTGTATGATTTTGTTTTCCTTTTTTCAAATAAGTGGCATTTTTGTTTGTAGTATGGCAAGTAATTTTTTTAAGTTATATTTGGACACAGTGCCCTTATTTTATTTATTTATTTTTATGTGGTGCTAAGGATCGAACCCAGGGCCTCAGACGAGTGAGGCGAGCGCTGTACCCCTGAGCCACAATCCTAGCCCCAAAAAGTAATTTTTATTTTGTGCTTTTCTATGTTTGCCAATTTTATATAAAATGCAAATAACGTGCATTTTTATAAAATAACAATAACAAAATGAAAAAGATTATTTTTTGGTAGGAGTAACAAATGCATTTGCTTTACCTTCTTATGTTTTGCTTGTTTTCAAAATTTAATGAGCATTCCTGAATACTGTTCCTAGTTACATGGTTCTTGTATTTTTATGTGTTGGGATCCCATCTTATATTCTTTCTACTGGTCTAACTCTTCCTCCATGAATGGAAAGGGATACTTATGGAGAATAGAGTTTCTGTTCTGAAGGATCTAATTGTCTTGAAATATATTGTTTTATACTTGTTTATGTGTTCATATTTCTTGTTCAATGTGAAGCCCCATTGTTGAAGTATTTTCAGTAAATAGTCCAGAGTCTGTATAAAGTTATAAATTTTATTTATGTCCAAAATACTGAAAATTCTGTTCAACATTGCTCAGTTTCCTGAATATTTTTCTTATTAGCACATTACAAAATACGTTTCTTTCCCCTTTTTTGCTAGGGGGCGCACTTAAACACTGAGTGAAATCCTCAGTCCTTTTTTGTGTTTTATTTAGAGACAGGGTCTCACTGAGTTGCTCAGGCTGCCTTTGAACTCTCAATCCTCCTGCCTCAAACTCCCAAGCTGCTAGGAATACAGGCA